TTTCCATAAGAATGTCCTCACCCCCACACCTCCAAGTTGCGAGGGAGTGTGTTTGGGCAGCCCTTGCTGAGACAAATCATATTGAGCACACTGAAATATCAATGCACACAGTACCTTTTTGTTTTGTTTTGTCCTTGTTAAATCTTCCCAATTTACATGAATCTGTCACACAATGGCTGACAAGGAAGTAATTCACCTACTGAGAATTCACTTCCAGGCTTGTGCCAACCTTTCAAATTTTGATTCCCAATCCGTTCCTCAAAGTAGCCAGCACTACAGATATTCATTCCATTATTCCATACCCTAAGGGCACCGAGCTCGTCTCTCTTGCTCCCACTCCAGGAAGCATCTTGATACGTAAGCATAGTTTACAGCTCTACTGGCCATCAAACTCCACATAAAACTGCCATGCTGAACTCAGAGTTAAAAGGTTAAACATTCAGTCCTTATCGCAACACCACACACAGAAGAAAGACGCAAGGGAGATGCCTTGTGTATCTGCAGAGCAGAAGGGAAGAACCCCCTCAGACACAGCTGCTGTCTAACAACCATGTTTTATGCAGAATGCTTGGGGGCTACTCTATTTTTATAACTTTCATCCATAAAATAAGAAGCTAAAGCTTCTGGAAAGAGAACACAATTACTCTACAATGATATAACAGTCAGAATAAATTCAACACAATCTGTATAAGCAAAAAGAAAAAGCATCCAAGCTTTTTTTTTTTTTAATTGACAGTAGATAATACTTAATAACTGCCCTATCATCAACCTTCAGAAATCATCTCCGCAGCCATATGCAGGTTGGCAAGCAGGCATAGCGCCTAACTAGTTTTCACATCTAGTTGGTACAGAAGTAGAGACATATGGAAATGAACAGCCTGGCAGAACAAGTGAACTCTGAAGCAATGACTTCGATAAATAAATGCCTGCACAATGGCAGATGGAGAAAAGCGCAGTAGGGAGGAACTGTATTGCGGCAGCAACTTAATTTTAAACGATTCATAGAAATCAGTCTGAATTTTGGAACTGAGGCATTTCCAGTTCCTTCAGTCCTCTTCTTCTCGTGGAAAAGAGGAAAGGTGAGGGTAGAAAGACGTATCTAACAAAAGGTAACAGAAGCTGCTTCAGGGAGCAGAGAACAGGACTGGGAAGTCACTGATCGTTTTTGCTTCTTATCACATTGCTAATCATGTTTTCAGTAGCTTTCAGGAAGACACAACCAATCATGCCCAAAAGTCTAGAGAAGCAAGACAAGGAGAGACATTCTCAGGCCGTATGGCAGAGCCTGAAACGTGAGCACAGGGGATACAGGTACGTGGGGTACACAAGCCTTTTCTGCAGTGAATGGAAACTTGTGCACGATGCAATAGCCACCTTCTGCATTCATTCCTCTAGAGACCAGTCTATTTGTAGGCAAGCTGAATCTTTCCTGTTTGCAAGCTGCAGACTGATTCATAGTCACTGTTAATGTGACGGATGAGTGGAAAACAAGTACTACTACTCCCCTGCTGCCAGCAGGGCACTGGCACGTTTATTGCACTGTCTGGGGTAAGGGGACTCCTTGTCTGGTGATCTCAGAGGTTATTCTTCCTACCAGTTCTGAAACATGTGTACACATTCTGTGTATGTCCTCTAACCCAAACCAACATTGTAGTCCAAGAGACAGCAAGGCAAGAGGCATTCCTCTATCCCATCAGAAAGCACAATGCAATGCAGAACATTCTGAGCAGCATTTGCATTGCCCTTACGCATTATGTGGTGTGCACAACCTCATACGTCCCCATCTTCTTCCTCTCTTTACTGACAGCATCCTGTATAATAATTGAGATATGTACCTTCATGTTGGAGGCTTCATGAATTAAAATGGATATGATTATATAGAGTTCTATGGCTTGGAATCACCACCTTAAGAATTCTGTAATTTAGAAAGACCACCTTAAGATGACACAGGGATAAAGAAAGAGAAAGTACGACGATGCGGCAAGAGAACGACCCGGAAGTAAACCAACAGGAAGTGGAAGTAAACCAACCTGACCCGGATGTGGGCGGTGACATGTAAGATAGTAACCAATCCTGTATTAGCTTAGACAATATGGACACATATGTAACCAATAGAAATGCTTATGTAGTGTGACTAAGGGATTTTGGACTATGAAAGCGCAGCTTCTGATAAAATAAAAGTCTTCGATTTATAACTCTTACAGAGTCATCTCAGAGTCCTGTGGTCGTCTTGCACCTTCATGCATAGACACAACCTGATGGGGAAGTCCTTCAAGGTACAACTGCCATTCAAGGTCTCCAAAGACAGGAAGAAAATAAAGAGTTCAAGGTACATTATAATTCTTTGGAGTCTACTTCTGCAGTAGGATTGTGCCATACTAGCATGGTATGCAAGTAGGCAGGACCTATGGTGACCTGCTCAACTACAGCAAGCCATCCTCTACTAAATACCACTGATACACATGCAAAGGCAGCAAACCGCAGACCTCCCGGTCAGACGTGTACTGATTCCATGCCCAGTACCGACCCCTACAGTAAAGAGAGGGGAAAGAGACACAGGACGAAACCAAGGAGAAAATAATCCAAACTATGATGGTCCAGACTTAACAGGTCAGCCATATGTACCAAGTACTGCTCTTTTTTCAACAAAACAGTCACTTGCTGCTGTCCCCTTTATGGGTAGCCAAGTGGATGAGCTTCATGCTGTAACGTGAGGCCAAGGCAAAACTAAACTCAAGATTACTGTGATGCAGAACATGGTGAATTCAATTAATCTTCAATAAATTTCTCCTCAATAATAGGCCACCATTTATCACAAAGAAACTCCCTTTCTCTTCCTGACACTTCATCAGTTAATATTACGCCTAAGATCTCACTTCTTTGCACTGCTTGGTTACCTACCAGCTCAGAACTCAAATATCTTCATCTTCACCTCCCACATCACATGGTGATCAAAAAAACTGGGAGGCAGAGATTTTAAAATGAGTGTACCTACATCCAGTCCTCCAAGTATACTGAAACCATTTCCAGTGGAAATCAGTTTAGAATCCGTTTCACTTTGGTAAGAATCACCATGGGAAAACCATGACCTGCCTTCCACAGCCCCTCCCATGGATCTCTCAGCTCTGCAAGCCTCTGCTATGGATCAGGCTATTTCCTTCACTAAATCAGCTGCCCACATGAAGCCCATAGCAAAGCAAGTACAGCTCTTAGTCCAATGAGTCAACAGCCATATGCACAAAGTGAAAATAAAGGTGGATTAACGTATGCCACTGTGTAAATGTTTTGTAATAAGTAATAACAGTCACTATCAATCAAGAGAGTGGAGAACAGATGGGAAGGAGGTTGTGTTGAGAGAAAGGACTCAAACAGGACTGTGTATTTTCTCCCCCACCTTCCCTGGTCTGATAACAGCCCTAAATAAACCCTTGCAAATCTGCAGATACAGGCAATTCCCGTAAGTGTGTTCCAATATTCCACGCAGCTCTGCCTGCTTTCCACCACAGCACAGCAGAATCACAGATATGAACACATCCACAAAATGCTGCAACACCAAAATGTGAGTTTGGGAACTCTCTCCCTACCCCCAGCCCCGCTCCCCTTCTGTGGGTCAAGCCCTCTACCCGGCATTACGGTCATTTCATCTACTGTCACCTTCAGGCAGGTTTGACAACAGATCTTATCCTGGAAAGAAAACAGTTCCTATTAATGAGAAATCTCAAATGCCTCCTCTTCTCCTTGAACAAAAACTCAGGGTCAGCTGATTTTTTTCAGTTTTCTTATTTCTGTAAGAAAATATTTTGTATTTAGGTTTTTAAAAGAAGTGAATGTTTACTTGATGGCTGCTATTCAGTCCAGCAAAACAACTGCTGGATCTTCAGGTTTCTCTCCGGTGCTAAAAGTTCAGTATTACAATTTGAATTAAGACTTTGTAACAGATGCTGTAGCAAATTCACCGAAGGCTGCAGATTTAATAAAAGAGGGCAGTCTGTGGCGCACATTTATATGTAAAAAGCATTTTCACCAAAATAATCTAAAACTTTAAATAATTTCTAAATAACTCTAAATAGAAAGTATGTTCCAGATTCTCATTTGTAATAAGGTCATTGTACACAACTTTGGTTGCAGAAAAGAGCCTTTAAAAAGAATAAAAACTGTGGCCCTCTGCATTCCCTGATGTTGTTACTCTCTGCAACTGATTATCAATACCTTGTTCTTAGTACAACACTGAATACCTATAAACATCCGTGAAACATTGTGCTGGGGTTACATTAGGGTTGCATTTATGAGCTATACTCTGCTCCAGCTCAGCTGAAGCACAGACTGTATCTGAACGATAAAGGCTTCACTCTTGCTCCTAAAACCTGACAGGGAGGCAGCGAGGATTACACCACAGCAAGCAAAGCAGGATCCATCCCTTGAGATTTCCCGTTCTGCAGAGATGAGCAGTGTTACCTCCAGCCTCAGCTGTTGTGATAGGTCTTAAACACAGCCGAACCACGGTGGTTCCCAAAGGAGAGACATGAAGTGAATATTTATCTTCTTGGCAGTGTGGGGGCAGACAATTGATGGTATATCAGAATTTAACCGGCAATCCAGATTCAGAAAGGTTGAAAACTACAATCAGCTTAAATCAGTATCTATGAACAGTGAACAACAGAAGAGGCTGAAAAATTACTGTGCTCAGCCCCAGATGTCGTACAGGGTGCTGCTTCTCACACTTTTTTCACCCCCCCCGAAAGACTCCATTAACACCGAGTTGGAAATACAGTAAAGAAAAACACTTTTGTTTACACATTAACAATTCATCTATAATACTCTAAGCAGCCAAAATAGCATGTATTTCAAGAACTCCTCAACCTTCTTGCAAACAAAGTCAGCCTGAAAAAGAACCACAAACAAAATCCATGAACCCCAACCATACATTTTTTTGCACGGTATGTTTTTCAGTTAGTTATGAAAACTAGAAAGAAAAAAAAAGAGCAGCATGAGCTACATACCTTAGCTATTTGGACACACCAGTTTAGCAGAAGCTGGGAGCCAATGTTATCCTTGTGTTCATGAACATAGTCCAAGAGGCAGCCGTGAGGCATCAGCTGAGTGACAAGTTGAATGGTCGGGCTCAAGCAGACACCCAGGAGCCTTACCAGGTGTGGATGGTCCATGCTGGCCATGATAAGAGCTTCCTGCAACAACAAAAGTGACCCAATTACTCCAGTGTGCTCAAGGACTCCATGCACAGAAGATTTCCTGTTCCCCATAAAGCATCTAAAGGGGATCAGTGTCCCCTGAGTACCATGAACCTGCGTTGCCTATCCAGTGCTAGGCACATGGAGGTAAAATCCAGTGAGATGTAATGTACGCTTGGTGCAAGGAGCCCCAAGCAAAGGGTCAGACTGTCTGAACAGATCCAGTGAAGGCTCAGATCAGAAATTCTCCACTGCCCTTTATTACCTGCCCCATTACAGCCACAGAAGCAAAGATGTAAGTGTGACACACCTGACTTTGCTTAAAGGTTTCATTGGTCTTCTTTTACTTACCTAGTTTTGTTTCTTGAATATCTTTTCCCAATTTGTGGTCAATCTATTGGGCGTCTGCCTTCTTTTTACGCAAGCAAATTATGCTACTCATGTATAATTAGATGGTCAGTTAGGCCTCATTTGGCAAGATATGGATCAAGCTGTGCTAAAATGCCTTACTGGATCAGAGATTTTATGCTTTGTATTTTACAGGCTTAAGCGTGTACCATTTATATAATGATTGAAGCTTTCCCAACACTCAACCTGCAAAGGGTTAAGGATCAGGAGGTTTAGTGCGGACTTTTCAGATGTGTCTGATGCTCCTAAGCCCTACTGGAAGTCAGCAGGCTTGTTAAGCCATTAGGATATGACCATGCTACCGTTCCTATGGCTGCTGCACAGCAATAGCCTGAACTAGCGGTTGAAATGGTACAGTAGCAGCCCAGCTGCAGCAGCAGTCCTGTCTGTCTCCTGATGCTGCCACAAGGAGACCACTACACAGATCATAAGTTTTCAGAGCTTTTCAGCGAGGTTGTCCAATACCAAGGACCAGAAGGACTTAATCTTGGCTACACTATTCAGCCCTAAAGTTCATACCACTGATAAGCAGCATAGGAGCTCCTTATAAAAAACCCTACATCTCTGTTCTTAGAGGTAATGCTGCCATCACAAGCAACTGGCATTCAGAAAAGTCAGGGAGAAAGCTTCTCCCATACACTAAGCCGAGTCTTCCATTTCAAGACCATCATGGCAAGGGAACAATGCAAAGTGAGATAAAACCACGGCTTTGTAAAGCTATTCTGGTTCTCTTTCTTTCTCAGAAAACCTGTATGACATCTCAGTTCAAGAAGGACAGGAACTGCTGGAGAGAGTCCAGCGTAGGGCTACAAAGATGATGAAGGGAGTGCAGCATCTCCCTTATGAGGAGCGGCTGAGGGAGCTGGGGCTCTTTAGTTTGCAGAAGAGGTAATAGTGCCAAAGAAAGAAAGAAAGACAAAAAAGGATGAGAAAAAGTTGGCATCAGAGGATCGCAGCATAACCCCCAACTTGTAAAAGTTGTTGGGTTTTTTTTTCCCCTTCCCTATATTAAAGTTAAAAAAAAAAGTCCTGGCAAGTTGGCTGAGTTTGTATTAAATGGAATTGCTCATCATAGTACAAAGAATATTTGAAACCAAATTGCAGAGTATTTGCATAATAGTTCTCCTCTTTCTTTCCCTCTCTTTTTTCGTTAAAATGAAAAGAAGAACAAGACACTAATTGTAGGGTTTTTTCCCCCAGTAAGAAAAGAGCAGATGGCCTCCATTGGGAGGAGTATCTCTTTCCC